ACACACACACACACACACACACACACACACACACACACACACACACAACTGTAAGAAAAAAAATGTGGGTTAGGCTGTGTCCTTTCTGGTGGATGCCCCATACAAAATTTTTACGTTTACTATTGTTCTTTTCAGGTTGTCACTGAGGTCAGTGAGATTTGGTCACCAACAGTGGGGACTTATTACCCAGTTATCCCTGCCAGTCAATTGGACTCTCATACTGTAACTTCTGTCTGTTTTGGTGATTATTTTCCAGCTCAGTTTTCTGAGAGGAGAAAAAATCCTTGTCCTGAGACAAACCACAGCTGACTGGTGGTGGGGCGAGCATGCAGGCCGCTGTGGGTACATCCCTGCAAACCACCTCGGGAAGCAGGTGGAGGACTATGACCCCGAGGACACCTGGCAAGACGAGGAGTACTTTGACAGCTATGGAACTCTGGTATTGCTTTCCAAATCCCCTGTGTGCATGTTGTTGTTTTGTTTTTGTTTTTTTTTCGAGGGAGGGTTTCTCTGTGTAGCCTTGGCTGGCCTGGACTCGCTTTGTAGACCAGGCTGGCCTCGAACTCTCAGAGATCAGCCTGCCTCGGCCTCCCTGAGTGCTGGGATTACAGGCATGCACCACCGCACCTGGCTAGATCTTGTTTTGTGTTGCAGAGTTTTAAGGCTCTTGCTGTGCAAGGTTTATACTTTTTGATTAAGTTCATCCTAGGTTACGTTCGGTTCATGGCTACTGTTGGGTGATGGTCTTCATGACTGCCTGCTGTCCTGTCTACCTTGGCCAGCTGGTGAGAGGAGGGCCTTAGAATCCCCAGCTATACTGCTTCTTCTGTTTCCTTTGGTTGTTCTGTGCATTTTGATGTTCTGTTGTTGTCTCTAGAAGTATTTAGAATTTGATGCCTGTTTGATGAATGGACCCCCGTGTGGTTGCATGCCCACCTCAGTGTTCTTGGCACATTCTTCTGTCTGAAGTGTCTTGCGTGATGTCATTGCAGCCTCTGCAGCTCCACCTGGTTTGTTTTAGGATGTCGCATTCTCCATCTTTTTGTTTTTAGCCCAGTCTTTACATTTAGAGTGTGTTGCTTATAGGCAGGATAGGGTGTTTTGACTTTTTAACCCATGCAGCCAGCCTCCTGAGGGAGGATAGACTAAGGTCTATCCCTTTGTTTTCACTTTATGGCCATATCGTTGGGAGGAGCCATGGGGGTTCTGAAGGCTCCATCAGACCTACCCTCTGTGTTGGTGCCACCTGGGCATTGTCTGGGTGACACCTGGGAGCTATCAGCTGCAGCTCCATACTCACCCTGCCTCTAGTCTCCCTTCAGTGGGTACCTAGTGTTGGTTTTATACTTTGGGGGCGCTACAGTGGTGTAGCCTTGCCTGCAGCCAGGGTTCCGCCGGTCTCTGAAAGGGCCTTTCTCTGCATCTTTGAGATCAGATGCCTTTTCACCTCAGAGTATAGGAGAGTTGGCCAGAGCACTGCTAGCCCCACAGCCCTCTGCCCCACTATGGTTGTAGTTCTTGCAAGGAATTAAGTGCTAAGTTTGAGTGAAGAAGATTTTGCAGGGGAGGGCCCAGTTGCACAGTGACACCTGCTGCAGTATGTCCAGTGTTTTCTCTCGGCGGACACATGATGGGGAGGCAGGTCCTTCCAGCCTCAGGAAGTACGTGTGGGGTTATTTGCCTTTCTCTTCTGTGTGGCCCACATCAGCATTCCGCTCATCTGACTGACTTGGGGAAGAGTAACTTGGGTTTCTCTCATGGGCCGCTGACACTTTTATCTCTTGGCATCTGCTGTTTTGATTTCAGAGCCCATTTGTTGCTAACAGTTTAGGAATAGGGATGGGTGCATGAGCTGTGGCCCTGTGTCTGTGGTTCAGGTCCAGGCCCTGGCAGCGATACTTGATGTGTTGTTTCCAGAAACTTCACCTGGAAATGCTGGCCGACCAGCCTCGGACAACAAAATACCACAGTGTCATCCTACAGAACAAGGAGTCGCTGAAGGACAAGGTCATCCTGGACGTGGGCTGTGGCACTGGGATCATCAGCCTCTTCTGTGCACATCACGCGAGGCCCAAGGCCGTAAGTGTGTCTGCCTCCATGTGGGCCCAGCTGTGGGCCAGAGTGGTGGCTGGCTTCACAGGTGGCCGAATGTGGCGTGCTCTTAGGATGATCTTTCAGCCTTTAGGCACCCGTGCGCTTTAGGCTCGTGGGAGGGAAGTAGGCAGCTGGTGCATCTGTGGCTCAGACTCACAGACTGAACTGGTCGTGACCAATGGGAGTGGAGCCAGACAGAGCAGCAGTGACAGTGATTCTTAGTAGGACATTTGTGAACTGTTACTTTGGCTCACTATAGAAAAAGGTGGGTGCGCAGGACTGTGCTGGGCCGCGCACAGGCCCCAATACAGGCCTTTGACTCCCTGATAGGTCTTTTTCTCCTCCCTTTTCGGGGCAGATTTGTGCTGAGCTGTGTGGTGGCCTCATGACAGCCTGACAAATGGCCAAAGCCAGTTGACAGGGCAGTGAAGACTGTACCCAGACACTCTTCCAGTTCTCCCTTGAGCACCAGTTATGGCTGTCTCCAGGCCGTAGATTCTAGCATACTCTATTGTCCTGAGCTCTTGTTTTGTGGGTAACAGGGTATGTGTGTCGTATGTGGGAGCCAGCCAGCAGAGCTGAGGTCCTGGCTGCCTGCAGTTGTGCTTGCATTTTGTTGAGGAGGCTCTGGTAGGAGAATAAACAGTGATGGATTTTCCAGTAGCCTGGCCAGGCTGCCAGAGCGCTAACGGCTTGGCATACCGCAGGCCTCCATTCACAGCGCAGCGTCCTCTGTCATTACCGTCCCAGTACTGGCTGTGACTTGGGAGAGTACTGGGCACCTCCCTGGGGGGCGGGGATCATGTGCTAACGGGCGCCCTTACCGCTGCAGGTGTATGCCGTGGAGGCCAGTGAGATGGCCCAGCACACGGGCCAGCTGGTCCTGCAGAACGGCTTTGCTGACACAATCACCGTGTTCCAGCAGAAGGTGGAGGATGTGGTGCTGCCCGAGAAGGTGGACGTGCTGGTGTCCGAGTGGATGGGGACCTGCCTGTTGGTAAAGCCTGGCCTGTGGTGGTCTGTGGGTGGTGGTGGGCTTTCATTCTCCCGAACCCAGCACCCTGGGTCCATCTGAGAAAACTTTAAAAATCATGATTAACTGATTTTTTTTTTTTTTGAAGTGAGGTGTTTTTTAATTTATTGAATGGTATTGGCTCAGCGTCTGGAATCTTTAACTGATTAAAACAACAACAATAACAAAACACTCCATGAGTGAAGGAATGTGACTCTCTCCTGAGCTCTCCAAACCATCTGCTCTTCCCTAAAGAATCTGCAGATGTTCAGGGCTTTTTCTTCAGTCAGTGGTGTTTCCATTCGTGGCTCCCTTTGCTGTAGGCTAGCCTTGTCACTGTCTGTGCCACCCTCATGGAGCCTGTCATGTTCCCAAGATGCCATAGAAGGAATCAGATGGACCCGGTTACTTGCTCACAGATCTGCCATGACTCTCGTCATCCACACCACCAGCCTAAGTGCTATACTCTTGTTACATCTTGTAGAGGAGGCTCAGGAGGAGGCAGGACCAGGCTGTATGTCTAGCCCTCTCCTGCTGGGCTTGGCATTGTGAAACCCAGGGCATTTTGTGCGGTGCCTCAGCCTGAAATTTAGCCTTTGTGTAAGAGTCCAGAGAAATAATCTCTGGATGATAATTTATGCCTCTGACATGATCCTTTGAATAGTGAGTGGTTGTCAAGCGCTACTCCCACAGCAGGGGCAGCAAGAAGAGGACAGAGCAAGCCTGTGGTAGTGAGGCCTCGTTTACACTCTAGCTCTCACTGGGGTTGAGAGACAGGGGTGGGGAGAGGAGGAGCTTTGGAAGACCAGCGATACGGAGGCCAGTTTCCTACCAATGCTTGATCCAGAGACTTGGAACCATGTCTCAAGTACCCTTGTGGAGGCTATGTTGGGGACCTGATGTACAGTGACTGGCTGAGTGTCCTGAACACTAAAGGAATATCGATTTCTTGGTGAGGGGATATCATGGGTCAGGGTCTCAGGGGATGTGGTGAGGAGGCCAAGCCTCGTAGCTAGCTGGAGACAGGAGGGCGTGTTGAGGTCAGGTTGAGTCCCAGGTGGGGCATTTCCAGGCACTTGGTGGAGAATGAAGAATGCTTTCTCAGGGTAGCAAGGTCACAGCTGGAGGGGGCTGGTGGGTTTGCCAGCTACAGGCAGCAGCCATGCCTCAGGAAGTGTGGGATGGTCTCTGAGGAGTCAGATTGTGTGCTGTTCAGCACTGTACACTGGTTCCTCTGAGAGGTGTGATCTCCCGTGGTGCACTGCGATGAAGCAGATGACCTGAGTGGGCCTGGAGCAGTGCAAGCTGTGTTCACACAAACATCGCTCTAGGCACCGCTATAGGAGTTCTGGCTAGAGTGAACCCAAACTGCAAACAGCCCAAAAGCCCTTCAGCAGATACGCTGGCCGATCCGCACAGGGGAGCCAGTCACCAAGCATGTGATCCTATGGACAGCCCAAAGGAGGCCAAGCTCACTGTGTGACTCCGTTCAGAAGATGGAGGGTTTCCTGAGCTCTAGGGTGGGAGGGCGTGGCCACCAGCAGATGTGTGAATGGAGCTACTGCTTGTCCTGGCATGGCTGTAGGGACACATCGCCTGGGTGCCCAGATTCATGTAGGCTGTATGTACCGTGTCAGGCCAGTTCTATCCGATAATGGAAAATAAAGCGTAAAGGTCATACCTCTCTTCGGTATGGGCGCACATATTTTCGAATGCATGCAGAACAGTACTTGAAAACAATACGGTTCCTTCAGGGGCTGGCTTTTCCTGTGATTTTAATTGTGTTTCCTTTTCTAGATTGTGTAAGTTCTTACGGACCTTATTTGTTGTAAGGCTTGAGTAGATTGTTAAGAAAATCCGAGCCTTCTGCTGCTTCCCATCCATGATGGCAGAGGAGGAGGGACCTGTGGGAGTAGCCTTCAGCCCCTGCCCCGACTCTCATTCCTGAGTTTGACTTGAGTTTAGGTACAGCAGGAAGCCTGGGCTTGCTCACGTTGGTCCTACTGAGTTTTAAACATGTCAAGCTCCCCTGATAGACTTGCTGAGGGCTTGAGGGGGGAGGTGCAGGTCTTCTGAGGGACCCCTGGTTATGTGCTTGACCAGAGGGTTGGGAAAATTCCGGGAATACTCCAGACAGACCAGTCCTGTGTGTTAGGTAGAGCCGTGTGGCACTTCGGGGCACTGTGAAATCTATCGGATTTTCTCCCAGTGCCGGTCTGGGACAAGTGCGAGAATTTCTGTTGTCTGTCAGCTCCCCTTGCCTCCCAGTTCGATGGGAAGTGATGGCATTCCAAGCCAGGCTGTGATTCATATGTTTCACGAGAGTGGGGAACAAACCCCTGGCTCTCCCGTGTGGTTCACTGGCCTGGCTGGGATAGTTTTGGAGGTAAAACTGAAACTCCCAACACGGGCTATGGCCTCCTGGCTGTGGCGTGCGAGACCTCAGTGACACCCCTGCGTCTTTGCCTCCCGGTGCAGTTTGAGTTCATGATCGAGTCCATCCTGTACGCCCGGGATACGTGGCTGAAGGAGGACGGTGTCATCTGGCCCACCACGGCGGCACTGCACTTGGTGCCCTGCAGCGCCGACAAAGACTACCACAGCAAGGTACTCTTCTGGGACAACGCCTACGAGTTCAACCTCTCTGCACTCAAGTAGGTGTGCGCGACCGCTTGCGGGGCTGACCGCCGTGTAGGCAGGCTCCTGGCAAGAGGGCAGGAGCTGGGTGGGCAGCTGGTTGATGAGGGACTTGGTGGGGGCCGCCTCTGCTTCCCTGAGGTGGTCTTGGGAAGCTTCACGCTGCGGAAGGCATCCTCCAGTGGCCCAGAATGAACTCAGAGATGTTGCTGAGATCTGTCTTGTTTCCGGCTCCTCAGCTTTCCTTTGCCCACCCGTCCTGATCCCTGGCATGGCTTTGTGTATGGGGAAGCTGTGGTAGCCAGGGAGACAGGCCTCCTCCTGCCTTCCCTCCAGCCTCAATTGTGGCAGTGATCACAGTTCTTGTGTTCCTGGGGGAGAATTCGCATCAGGACACAGGCAGAGCGAGCAAGTAGCCAAGAGGCTGGGTATGGTGCTGCACGCCTTTAGTCTCAGCGCCCAAGAGGCACAGTCAGGTAGATTGCTATGAGTTGGAGGCCAGCCTGCTTTCCATAGCAAGTTCTAAGTTGGCCAGGGATACACAGTGAGTCACTGTACCTCCACTCCCACAGAGGTGTAAGCCACAAAGCCGAGACCTTTACCAGAGGAAAGGGCAGTGGTACCATTGCACATGCCAGCCAAGAGCCTGCTTGGAATGGCTTTGTCTTTACCGTTGTTCCTCGTCTTCCCTGGTCAGCCCGGCTTGTCTCATACTCAGCTGCAAGTGCTTTCACACTTTCTCAGTATTCTGTACCGTTTGGACCCTGACGCTTGTTTTCACTGATTCAGAACTTAATGCAGCAGCTCCTTACTGTGGAGGGGAAATACGACCAAAGGAGCTCAGAGAGAAGCCCACACCCAAGAAGGAGGCTCTTCTCTAGAGCAGACCTTGATGTGGTGGGAGGGAGTGGGAAGAGCCCTCTGAGGGCATGAAACGCAGGGATGGAGACCTCCTGAGGTGAGACTTCGCTGGAGGATGGACCCTGAAATGAAGAAAGTCTCCACTGAGAGTGAGACGCAGGTCTAGCATAGATCATACAGACTGGCAGGCTCTGAGGGCTGGCTAGTGAGACCCAGGAAGGCTGGAGGGCAGGTGAGTCCAGCTAGGAGGGATAATCCTCCAGGCTAGACCTGGAATGCTCATTTATTACCTCCAGTATATTTACGGCTAAATCCTTGCCAGTGCCCTGAGCCTGAGCCTTTTTTTGTTTTGTTTTGTTTTGTTTTTTGTATCTTTTTTTTTTTTTTTTTGACTTTCAACTTTTCCCCTAGGTCTTTAGCAATCAAGGAGTTTTTTTCAAAGCCAAAGTCTAATCATATCTTGAAGCCGGAAGACTGTCTCTCTGAGCCATGCACCATATTGCAATTGGACATGAGAACCGTGCAGATCTCTGACCTGGAGGTGAGGGACGGACAGTGCTCTAGACATTAAATTGGTGCAGGAGACACTGGGTAACGATGGCAGACATGCAGCAAATGTGGTGTGTGTGTGTGGTCTCAGTGATGACTGAATGACACCACTAAATGAACTGTTACACTCCATTTGCTACTATTTTCTTCCTTCTCATGTTCTATTTTGGTTTTTGTCTTCTGTGTTTTTGTTTTCGTTATATTTAATCTCTTCACTGTCTTCAGATATTTTTACTCCATGGTCTACATTCTTGGCATCCTAGAAAGCATACAAATCATTCCATGTATGGTGGTCCAGCAATTGTGTAACAGATTCTTTTAGCTGTTGACAGCTGCTGTTGTTACACAGTTCTTGACGCCCTTTCCATGGTTAATTAGGTCCAGCGACTGCTGTGTGGGCATAAGAGTTTGGGATGGATATGGTCAGTGGAGCCCAAGCCCTGTGAGACTCTCCACATGACCCAGAGTGGCTGGCCGGGTTGAGGTTAGGGTTGGGCTGTTGGGATTGGCCCTGGTCTGCGGCACTGATGTGTTATTCTGTGTTTGGGTGCAGACCATGCGTGGTGAGCTGCGATTTGACATCCAGAAGGCTGGTACGCTGCATGGCTTCACAGCTTGGTTCAGTGTGCACTTCCAGAGCCTAGAGGAGGGCCAGCCCCAGCAGGTGCTCAGCACAGGCCCGCTGCACCCGTGAGTGACCGTATAGGGGTATGCTTGGAGAAGAGGTATGGTGAGGCAGGGGGATAAGGAGTGGGTGGAAGCAGACTGGCTAACTGGGCTCCAGGTACCCTCGGCCAGACATGTGGGGTAAGAAGGGGGATGCTTTCCTCTACCAGGAGATTAGCGTCCCTGAGCAGTTTCCCTAGTATGAGAAACTTCCGGTTTCCTAGTGCATCATAGACTTAGGGTTCTGCTTCCCTGGCCTCAGCACACAAGGTTGGAGAAGTCCTCAGCTCGCACGGTGCTGTTCAGCCACATTCTCTCCTGTAATGGTGGTATGTTGGTCAGTTGGCTGTGCCCTGGCCTCAGCCATGTGGCCCAGACCAGGAAGGAGAGAATAAAGAGGGACATTTGAAGAGTGAATGGAACCAAAGAGCAGCGTGGGCGGGGATGCTCCGTGTTATTGGCACACGGGCTGACACGAGACCAAAAGAGCTAGATACAGCACTGAAGCAGAGAAGTGAGAGTCCCTGAGCCAGGGACACCCCGTCTGTGCTGCTACCGTCTGAGCACATCTCTTCCAGAAACGATAGGCCTGGCTCTGTTGCATGTGCCACTTTACTGCGGTGACTCAAGCAGGCATCACAATGACCGAGTGGACTACTGTCCTCTGGGCCTGGGATTCAGCGCCCAATGTAGTCATTCAACCCCGTGCTTCCATTCGGCGGGCCACCCAGGTCAACCTTCCTGACCTTCCGGAACCCCAGCCATCTCTGTCATGAGCAGGGTGTCAGCCCCCGTGTTGTGGTTTTGATCCTGTAAAGACTTCAGATCAAAGGGTTGGCCATGGGAGGGTGGCACTGCGCCTTGCTTAACGTGAGACCAAGCTCCGTGTTGCTAGGTTCCTGGGCAGGACAGGCTGTCAGTGCCGAGGACCTCGCTGGGGCTGCCAGCTGAGGCTTGTGGGTGACTGTGCCTGTCTTGCAGAACCACACACTGGAAGCAGACCTTGTTTATGATGGACGACCCGGTCCCGGTCCACACAGGAGATGTGGTCACAGGTTCTATTGTGCTGCAAAGAAACCCGGTATGGAGAAGGCACATGTCTGTCTCCCTGAGCTGGGCCGTCACTTCCACCTTCGACCCCACATCTCAAAGAGTAAGATAGTTATTTGTGAAATCGTGTCTTGTGTGGGGCTGGATCTCAGGGAGACCGCTCTGGGTGGTTAGTAAGGAGGGTGACCGATGTGTGTCCCCCGCCACAGTTGGTCCAGCCTTTCCTGAACATTATAGTCTTCACACAGGAGAAAGGTGTTATTATTAGAGAGACAGATTTCTCCTTTCATATAACAGCAGGTGGACGGTAAGAAGGTAAGTGTCTAATACTCACGTGACACAGTTGGTCGAAGGAGTCCTGGACCTGCCTGGGGTGGCTCCTTGTACCTTTCCTGGAAGAGCCGAGCTTGAGGTGTGGAGGTGTGAAGGACTTATTTCACGTGTGGAATGTCATAGGGTGCCCGGAGTCAGGTGGGGTGTTAGACTTCAAGTCTCAAAGGCCACTGGAAACTGGAGCTCTGTTTTTGGAGACAGGGTTAACGTAGGAGAGAAAAGGAAAAAAAAAATCAAATGGTTCTCTTTCATTTTGTGGTAATTTTATATTCAGTATCAAAATGTTGGTCATTTAAGAATGTGTACTCGGAATGCCATTCCATCCAGTGTTAAATTGTTTGCAAGTTCTGTGTGTTAACCAATCAGAAATGGTGAATTGACTCTTCTGTCTTTTGCAGGTTGGAGAAAAGGTCTTTCCAATCTGGAGGTGATGGGCGAGCGCTGCTTGGGAGTCATGGCCATGGCATGCATCTTGGTGGAATAAGATGCGCCTGGCCACCTGCTGTGACATCCAGGCACACCTGTCCCATGGTGACCCCTTTCCATGTAGCAGGTGACCTCGGGGCCCCTCACAGATAAGCCCATGGGCTCTCTCCCAGGTTCATTTCTCCTGTAGGCTGTGTGTTTTGGTGTTCCTCCTGTGGCGCCCACCGGCCGCCAGCTGTGACACTGTGATCCCGGCTCCGAGTAGTTGTAGATTCCTCAGACACGCATTTCAGCCCATGTGCCCGTGACCGTGACGTCCATGCCCTCTGTCAGTGGTGTCCTTGATGCCCTTGGCCAGCTGCTGCACCCGTGGCCCGTGGCCCGCAGAGCCCTGCTCTGGTGTGAGAGATGACCCGTGTCTCAGCGCAAGGACAGGTGGTGGCAGTGTGGGCAGTGGGCTCCGCACGGGTGGCAGCTAACGTCTTATGTGTACATTATATGTGGGGCATAGTACATGCTCGATAAATATTTTTTAATGAACGAATGTTCTCTGTCTTGTTTCTGTGCATATATACTGTTTCTCGTGAGCGTGGTGCGATGGTTTATAAAATGGCAGCTCTAGGCCCACATGGAGTGGCACTGTTAGGCACTATGGCCTTGTTGAAGTAGGGGTGGCCTTATTGGAGGAAATCTGTCTCTGGGGGTGGACTCTGAGGTTTCAGATGCTCAGGCAAGGCCCAGTGTCACTCTTCCTGCTGTCTGCCAATCCAGATGTAGAACTCTCAGATAGCCCTTCAGCACCATGTCTGCCTTTGTTCCGCCATGCTTCCCATCATGCTGACAATGGACCAAACCTCTGAACTGTAAGCCAGCCCCACTTAAATGCTTTCCTTTTAAGAGTTACTGTGGTCATGGTTTTTCATTACAGGAAATAGAACCCTAAGACGCACAGGAATATACACTGCCTATTGCTTTGTAACCTTTCTCAGTATTATTGTTCTGGCGTTTAGTAAAATTTTCTTATAAAGTTTACTGCTGAAAGTACAACAAATCTCAGTGTCCATACAGACGAAGCCTCAAGCTAGCATGGGGTTACACACCTTTCCTCCCCGCACTCAGGAGGCAGAGGCAGGTGGCTCTTAGAGGCCAGCCTGCTCTACTTTCCCAGTTCCAGGCCAGCCAGAGCTATATAGTGAGATCCTAAAAAATAAGCAAAAACAAAAACATGCCCACAGGACATGCACCAGGTGGAGACACAGAGGCTTCATGTTCTCTAATACCTTTCTGGCATCTCAGTAGAACCACATGCCATTTTTTCTCAATTTGTTGGGTCACTCTGTGATCAAGCAGTTTTAGAAGAAAAAAACAAAAACAAAAACAAAACTGGCTTTCAACTTCTGAGGATCACAGTTGTTCCTGATTCTTCAGGGTACATCCTAAGAAGGGGACTGTAAACTGGCAGTGGTGGCACACGCCTTTAATCCTAGCACTTGGGAGGCAGAGGTAGACAGATCTCTATGAGTTTGAGGCCAGCCTGTCTACAGATTGAATTTCAGGATAGCCACAACTACACAGAGAAACCCTGTTTTGAAACAAACAAAAAAACAACAAATAACAACAACAACAACAAACATAAATCAAAAAAACCCCAAAACAAGAAAAAAAATAGGAAGATCCTGGTGGTAGACACTCAGTTTTCCATTAGATGACAGCATGCGTGGTTTCATCCAAGGCTACGTAGGCGGTATTTCCTTGAAGTGGAAGTTTTAGTTTGGTCATGTGATATTTTGCTGCAAGCTGGGCGTATGATGTTTTTCCCAGGTTGGCTTGTGAGCAGGCATGTGATGTTTTGCACTCTCATGTGGGGGCCATGACTTTGCCAGCTGAGAACATCTGTGGGTGGGTTTTGAGGAGAGAACGTATATAGTGGCCCAGGCAAAGTGAGTGATTGCTTTCTGGATCCACATCGCTGCACCGATCTTCGTGCTTAAACAATTGGCTTTGCAGAGGGAAATGTTCCAGAGAGGTTCTCTGGGCGATCCAACCGAGTCAGCTTTCGCTGCTTCTTTGTGTTGGCCTTTGGACTGGACTGCTGGTATCCTGACCACCGAGTCTGGTAATCCCCTAATGACCCACCGACCCTGATCAGCAGGAAGTAGATAAAAGCGGACTACAGCCCCTTTCCCTATTAATCTTCTACCTAAGATTGTGGGGCCAGTGGAAGGGAGGTAAAGGTGCCTAAGAACCCTAAATAAAGTAGGTTTGGTGAAAAATCTCAGCCTACAGTTCCTGGTCAACTCCTTACTTTCTATGTACTGTTTCTCGGGAGCATGGTGTGAGGGTTTCATCAAAGTACTTGGTATGGTGCACATTCCAAGCCTCTACTCTTCCTGAATCATTTTGGCATCTTGTGGAGGAAGCCTTCAGAAGACTGCATCCTGCTAGGCGACAGACAGGGATGCTGCATGTGGCGGTTAGGTTTGCAGCTCATTACCCAAATGTTGGCTCAGGGGTAAAGCGATTCAGGAAGCGGCTCTTTCAGTTAGAGCTGGAACTACCCAGAAGCAGAACAAATACAAAACAAAGTCTGGTGAGTGTGTGCCTAGGAGTGCCTCTTCACTCCGTGGTTAGATGATGCATCGACGTGTTGGGATGCATGAGGAGTGTCACCTTTGCCATCCTCAGAGGGATCCTATCTTGTTTCCCCAGTGCTGGGATTACAAGACACTATACATGGCCTGACAAAACATTATTTTAACACAGGTCTCTCTCCCCGCCAAAGCAAGAAGAAGCTCCTATAGGGCAGGGCCCCGTGCCACATTCGGCTCTGTATGCTCCACAGTGCTAGGCTTTGTAACCCACTGTGTACTAAATTCGTGGTATAGAGGAGACGTGGAGTGAAGGTGGGGGATTTAGAGATCTACTTAGGAGAACATCCACGTGCTTCTGTGAGTCATTTGAAAAACCTCCAACTCCTAATCCTCCCAAACAGGGCAGAGAATATATAGTTTCATGGCCACAGTTTATAATGGCATATGTACTACCTTTTAATAACCAGTTTGTGGTCGATTTGAAAGATCTGAACAAGGCGATAGGCCAGAGGGAACCTTTTTGAGATTAGGGGGATCTTTTTTGGGGGAACCCCTCTTCCTAGTTTGGGGAAATTTTTCTGAGAGAAGCTCTTCTGCTAGTCCTCCCATCCAAATTGGGATGCTGTTGGGGGACCCCGTAGCATGGTTCTTCCTCTCCCAAGAGATGTGATTTCAGTTTTACTTGAATGAATGGCCAGCCAACTGTGTGAATGATTGAACTTTTGACTGGCCCAGGGTGTTATTTGATTTCTTGATTTTTGTTGCCAGTATTTCAGGTTAGTTTTGTCATTTGGGTCCCTCATCACCCCCTGGTCCAACCCCCGTCTCTTCCCCTTCAAAGGGGAGCCGATTGAAATTCTGCTATTTTTTCCTGCTTCTGCCAGTAGGTGGCACCCTCTATATTCTGTTGTTAGCTGGCTTTTTACAAGGAAAGTCCCCTTTCCTCTCCGGGATAGGAAATTTCCAGCTTCCTCTTGCTTTGGTGGGGAGACCTGTGTCAGCTAACAGCAGGGATTAAGGACCTTTGACTATCACCAGGGTTAACTTCCAGAGTAGGCACGGGACCACTGGAATTACAGGAAGTAGGAACAGTAATGACTTAAGGTTGCCATGTAAAAGCTGGTCCAAAACAGTGTGTGTGTGTGTGTGTGTGTGTGTGTGTGTGTGTGTGTGTGTGAGCACACACGTGCACAAGTAATAAGATGTATGTAGTAAGGCTGTGGGGGAGATGAAATTCCACATGCTCCTTGCCTTTATTCCTTGGCATGTAATTATTTAAATGTTTAAACAATATTTTATTGGGCCATGTGGTGGCTTAAATTTGTAATCCTAGCACTGGGGAGACAAGGTAGGATCCTTCTGAGGATGACAAAGGTGGCACCCCTGATAAAGGCTTATTCCTCTAGTGGCTGCAGGACTCGGGGCCACACATCCAAATACATAGAGTCAAGATGTGCTCCTGGGCACACACACACACACACACCAGCCTTTGCTTTGCACCGTTTTGCTTCTGGGTAATTCCAGCTCCAGATGGAAGAGGTGCTTCCTGAATTGTTTTGCTTCTTATGGCCCAACATTCTGACAATGACCTTTAATGCATGGAGGGCTCAATGTACATACGGCAATAAATTTAATCCACCCCATAAACAGATTTAGAACACAAAAGTCACGTTATCATCTCATTAGATGCAGAAAAGTTCTGTAACAAAACCCAATCTCCATTTGTAACAGAAGTTCTTAAGAAACTAGGGGTACAGAAGGCATAGTTCAACATAACAGCAGCATTGAACACCGAGCCCAAAGGCAACATCAGCTTAAATGAAGAGAATCTCAAAACCTTTCCACGAAAAGCAGGAACAAGACAAGGTGTCCTCTCTCTCCATACCTAGTTAATGTAGTACTTGAAGTTTTAGCTAGAGCAATAAGACAGCTGAAGGAGCTCAAGGAACTAGGAAAAGAAATCAGTGTATTCTTACCTGCAGGTGTTTTTTTTTTTTTTAAATGGTGTTTTGCCCACGCCTGTGTGAAGGAGTCAGATCCCCTTGAGCTGGAGTTACACACAGCTGTGAGCTGACCTGTGGGTGCTGGGAATTGAACCTTAGGTGAATTGCATGGGGAGGTTCTGGAAGGAGTTGGGGAATAGGAAAACATGATCCAAATATATTCCATGAAAAATTAAAAAAAAAAAAAGAAATTGGAAGAGTACAAATAATGACTTGCTGATTCAACTTGGTAATTCATAAAAACAAGAAAAACAAACAAACCCAGATTCAGTAGACAGGAAGAAATATTGAAAATCAAAGCATAAATTTATTACATAGAAACAAAGAAAACAATGAAAAGAAAAAACAAAGTGAAGAGCTGGTTCTTTGATAAGGTAAAGAAGATTGACAGTCAGTTGGCCTAATTATCAAAAATATAGAAAGCCTTGACCCAAATTACCTGAATAAGGTTTGAACAGAGAAGCATTACAACAAATAGCAAAGAAAGTCACTAATATTATAAAGGAAAACATTAAAATATATCCCATTAAGTTACAAAATATGAAAGAAATCAGTAGATTATTTTTTAAAATTTTTTATTTAACTTTTATTAATTACACTTTATTCATTTTGTATCCCCCCATAAGCCCCTCCCTCCTCCCCTCCTGGTCCCACCCTCCCCCTTTCTGCATGCATGCCCCTCCCCAAGTCCACTGATAGGGGAGGTTCTCCTTTCCTTCTTTCTGATCTTAGTCTATCAGTTCTCATCAGAAGTGGCTGCATTGTCAGAGTTCTAGGTTATCTCCACAAATAGTCCTTGGTTGGAGTATGAGTCTCTGGGAAGTTCCCTGTTGCTCTCCTTGTGGAGTTCCTATCCTCTCCAGCTCTTACTATTTCCCACTTCTTACATAAAATTCCATTCACTCTGCCCGACAGTTGGCCATCAGGCTCAGCATCTGCTTTGATA